TGCTGATGTCCTTTTGATAGTTATCTCTGAAGAGATGAACCAATTTTCACTTGTCAGTCAAACAAATTAGGATAACCTAAACTTGGTAGATGGTATTGTTACATGAATTTGCTATGGACAGCTTTTCCTCTCAATCTGTCCAAAGAGCAGCTTTGAATCCAATAACAACAAAAAGAATGGCATTGTAAAATAAAACCAATATTGCTACAGCACAAACAAGTGTCATGAATCTAGAGTTCCCCCTCCTTTATTGTTCGTCTTCTCTTCTTCCCTTCTGAAATCAAAAATCCACAAGAAAAGTTTGTTTTTAGAGGTGAATGAACAAGTGGAGAGGTCAAAACTGTGATATTTGTTTTGGTTTGGGGAGGAACAGTTAGTGAGCTAGTAGAATGGAGATCCTGGACTCAGCTGTAGCAACTCACTGAGTTGCTTCAGTTGTTTGGGTTTAAGTTTCCTGGTGTACAACTGGAATGATGCTTTTCTGGTAAAGAACTTTGCTGTTTAACAATTTGAACTAGTACAGTTTTCTGATAGTGTCTGACTTGCTACCATCTTTTCTGGGAATGGGTTTTCAGTCAGGTGTTCCTGTTCTAATGAAATATGATTTAAAAAAAAACACAAACAAATCAAACCTGTGGATGTTCTCCCTTCATTAGTTTGGGACACTAAAAGGTGGGAGTGATACAGTTCTGTAGCAGATGGAAAGAAATGTTTTTTTCACCTATGCATATCATGAGTCCAGGCACACGTGTCTGAATAAAAAATATCAAAACATTTTAGGTTACTGTTATACTGGGATGTGTTCTGAATGATGAAAATGAATTTACTGTCTTACATCTGTCGGACAGACAAATGCTAGGAAGGTGAGCTAATTAAGTTTAAAAGAACCATCAGATACCTTGCGTTTTGTTTTACTAAACAAATAGCTATGCTAGTAGCAGATAAAACCTGTTTCTGCAGAATCAGTGAGGAAAGCTTTTAAAGCTTTTTTGACAAGCCGCCCCTCCCCACCTTGTTCATTTTACAGAGAAAGACTAAATTTATGATGAAGACCTTTCAGAAACCTGCATCATGTCACATTTGCATCCATGTCATCCTACCTTTCCTTGTTCCAGGCTAATCGGTCGCGTGACCTGGGAGCAACAGTGTATTGTGTTGGTGTGAAAGACTTCAATGAGACCCAGGTAAATGAGGCACTCGTGTTTACTGAGCTACTTGGCAAAGGTGCATGTTGAACACAGGCACGTGCTCCTGAATCACTTTCTCACAGCTTCTCAAGAGGCCTTCCTCTGCTTCTGTTGACACTCTAAACTGATTGTCTGCAGTGTCTTGGTCTGGGTGGTGGGTTTAAGCCCCTTTCTGTCTAAATGTCTGTATGTAGAGAACTGTACCTCTGCCTGCATGCCACAAAGACTCTTGCTAATGGTAGAGAAGAGCAGAGGAAAAGACACACGAAGAACAGCAGATCAGTCTGTCTTAAGCTGTAGGCAGAAGGTGGTTGTGGGGACCTTATTCTTCCGTAAAATTGAGGTATTGCCATGTAACACTTCAGTTTCAGTCCAGCTTTTCTTTCACAGGAAGGCTATGCTGTAAAAAACTAACAGCTTCATTAGTGACATGAATATTTTACTATGTTTTGCCATTTGATAGACTGACTTCTACATTTATCATATGAATGTTAGTATTTCCATGAATTATATTTCACCCTAAGTGTAATAGTTGACATTATATTTTTCTAACATGAGTGAAACACTTGTACAGCCCCAAAGTGGACTGCTGAAATTGAATAGAGCTTTTCCAGGTTTTCGGCTTTCTGACAAAGCTTCAAACACTGATTCAAAAAGGAGTCAAAACAAACTTGGTTTAGAACAGTCTGCTTTAATGAAAACCAGAGACTAGTGTAACCCAGACTGTCACAGAAAAAGCAAGGAGGCAAAGAAACTAGATCTAAATTAGCAGAACTGAGACAGCTGCTACTTGAAGTCATGTAGATGCTGAAGAAATGAACTGGAATTAGGTGACTCTGAAGCCCCAGAATGCACTAGGGGGAGGACTATGGGGAATGAGTTGAGGAAACTGTAAACATCCTGCTTTACAGAAGCTGTTGTATCTTGGCCAACAGGCAATAAGCAGCTTTAATACCCTTTTCGGACAGGCTGGGGAAAGTTGCCTGGAGTATTTCTCTGGATGCAAACTAGGAGGTTGGCAGTTTGGTGTTTTGCCTGAGAAGTGGGAGTTCCGAGTGATGTGAGCTGGAGAGGTGGAGCCAGTGGGGTTTAGGGAGGAATGTGTGGCTAGTCTGCTGCCTCCAATTTGCAATGCTACAGGAAACGCCAAAGAGGCCTGCTATGCTGAAGTTACCTCTGCCACGGGAGAGAATTACTATAACAAACATTGGCCTTGCAGCAGTAAAACTTGGTTCTGCTCCAGCTGATGCATGGAGAGGTCATTACTTCTGAACTGGGCTTATATTTTTGCCTTAACCCTTAGCATGCCATTGACAAGTGGATCTGCATGTAGCTTTTTACAGGTGATGTCCTGGTTCCCCTCACTTAACCACCACCTCATGAATGGTCCTCTTCCTTGTCACGTAGGCTTCCAAATGTTCTTCTGCTACGTTTTTCCCTCCACTCAGAAAATATCTCCTGTTAGAGCTCCCTGCTTTCTTCTTCTTGGCTCTCTAATGGTTGATCATAGGTCAAATAGTCAAATCGCTGTCCTGACAGGTAAGGAGAATCAGGTCTATATCTCCAGATGGGGTATCATTTGCATTAGTCTTCTCCATATGTGAAAGTACTGAATCATTTTGATTAGTTCCCTGGTTCAAATGAAATGAGGTATATGCTGAAGTATTTTGCTGCATTACTGGCCTGTCATGTTGATGCTGTGGCCTATTTTGGTTGGGGAGTTACCATGCTGGGTGATTTACAGTCACGTTGGAGACAGTTTTTGCAGTAAAGATCATTAGGCTTTTGGCATCGGTGTAAGCCACACTCTGTCTTGTCTTCAAAGTTAAGGGAAGCCTTTTCGGAGTCCCGATACAGAGCTTTCTAAAAACAATTAGGCTGAAGAGATAAACTTATTAGTGCTTGACAAACTGTAATGTCCTAGCAATCCATTCAGAGTGCTTGGAGTATTTGGGTTTTCTTACTTGCAAGTGGATGAGTCTGGAGCAGTCTTAATTTGGTGCCTGCTGGCTAATCTATCTCATTCTTTGCATTTCTGTTTTATTTACTTTTACCACTTTGTCAGCTGGCTAGAATTGCCGACAGCAAAGATCACGTCTTTCCAGTGAATGATGGTTTTGAAGCCCTTCAGGGAATCATAGACTCTGTAAGTATCTTTAATCATGTGTTTGCATGTGTGCCTGTTAGTTTGTGTTAGCTTGTGCAGATGAAGGGTTAGTTTTCCTGTGTTCAGAAGGACTTGCTGACTGTTAATAAATTGCTTAAACGTTTGGTCCAAAGAAATTGACCTTTGTTTGTACTAATATTGCTACTTCAAGGTAGAGTTTATCAACAGGTCACAACACAGGAAGCTTTGAGCCTAAATAATATCTTTGTATGTCTGCCTCCTTGATGGGAAGTACCTGACTCAATGCACTAGGCACATGATGACAGTATACAAGATGGCTGCCACAGACTGGGACAGCAGAGTTGTGTTATATTACTCTATATGAAGGATTAGGGCACTCTTTGATCTTCATCTTCCTGCTTGATTAGCATCCTTTCTGTCCTGATGGATGTGCTGGACTGCTCACTTGTTTAGAATGGGAGAAGGGATCCTGCTGTGTATGCCAAAATCCTCAAAAGTCTGCTTTCTACTTTCAGCCTCCTGACAAATGGGCTATTTTTTTCCTCCCCAGACCTAGGTTTCCTGATTCAGATTGATCAGTTCCTGTCACTTCCTTTACGAGTTGGGTGCAGTGTGTAAGAGTTGGCCCATTCCTGAGTGTCTGGCGTAAGAGCTAGCAGTTCAGCTGACAGACGGAGGGGAATAGATTGAGTCCTTTCCCATGGCTTCTGTACAAGTCATAGAAATGGCTCTATGGTCTTCACTGGCAAATAAGGATGCCTCGTGAGGCATCCCTCTCTCTAGCTCTAAAACCTTGAGTGGTCCGATACTGTCTCACCTAGGACCAACGCTTCCCTTGACTGAGCCGGAAAGACAACATGAGAGGATGTGAGTGCCACTTTCATTTTAAGTATAAAATATGCCAAGCGTTCACTAGGAAACACTATGTTTTCAGGTAGTTTTCAGTATTTTTCTGTTCCTTTTGCTCAGTTGTATCCTGTAACTGTTCTAATTAGACTCCTTCCCATGGCTGCAAAGAAGGATGGGAAATTCTTTTAAGGATGTGGTTTGTTCATACTGGTGTAGGCTTTTTAGTTGATAAAACACAGATGAAATATACAACTTGAAGCTAGAGAGGGTAGGTTCACCTGGGGGGGATGTCTCAGATTTCTGTGTTTACAGTGGTTACGTGCTATTCTGACCACGTAGTACCAAGCAAAACTGTTCCCTCGACACAGGCTCGGTTTTCCCTAGTGCTCTCGCATGTAGATGGAATACAATACCTTGCTTATTGGTTTTCTTGACACTGTCCAAGTGTGGGGCTACTGCCTCAATTCTCTTGGGCAATCAGGTGTTGCAAGTCATTTCTGAAAGCAAAAAAACAACAGAAACTCCTAGTTTGCTTCCTCGCCCTGTGTTCCCTTTGCAGCTGCTTTTAATGAATTCCAGGAGTGGTCCTGACTCCTTTTCCAGTTATACTTAACAGAATGGAAAGACTTCAGCCTCCGGGAACCTTAGTCAAGGACTGCTTCTGTTGACTGGTGCAAGATTAACCAGCCCTGGGAGGGAGGTCCCAGGGAAATGTAATTGTACAGTCATGAATCTGTGACCTGATCACTGCATTTGAGTGGAATAATTGCAGTAGGTTGGGTGTGTAAAAGGAATGGCAAGAAGGACATAAATCACTCTATAGAATAACAAAGCATTTGTAGATTCCTGTTCTAGCTGGAAAATAAGCTCCCTCATTTCTTCTTTTCTTGTCCTTGTGAAGCACCTGTGTCTTGGTGCAAACAAAGCATTTGTGTTCACAGTAAGGCATTTTAATGTTGAAAGGACCGTAAGTTGTGGAAGCTTCTTTCAATTCCTGTGGAAGAGTTGGTATAGCAAGGATGCTTGGCCATGTGTAGAGGGGATTGGTTAGGCTAGTAGCTGCTGGTTGATATGACAGAGGAAGGAAAGATAAAATGAGCCTGGGGGAGACTAGTGCTTGAGATCAGTCTTGAGATGTGAAGTCCTGGATTCCTTCTGCTCTGCACTGCTTTGGTGTAAACTGCCCTGTATTCCTGCTGAAGCAGCCTATCTCTTCCCTCCTCCCCTTGTCCTGAGGAGTAGATCCTTTTTAACCGTCTGCATGTGCAGAGGTGGTGGACTTAGAAGTCCCTCTGGAATAAGGAAGAGGGTGGGAATTGGGAGTGGTGGAGCTTGAGGCTGTCATCCACTGGGCTTCCAGATGTGCTGAGCAAAGATGTTCAGGGTGGCGGGCCTGCAAATGTTTCACTTCACCTGCCCTTCCTTTACTGTGGGAGCCAAGTTCTGAGTTAGCAGCTGCACAGGGACCTGCTCGGTGCCTTCTGAGGAGGACTGTCTCCTACTGAGCACCACGACGAAGCTATTTAGATTGTGCCCTGGAGGCTGAGTTTAAATGGGCTGAAAATACAGTCCTGTGCTGAAGTCGTGCTTAAAAACACGGTTGTGGAAGTGAGAGCCAGAACTCTTCAGTGCACTGTAGGTTTTGGTCCTTTCTCTCCTGTGAGTTCCAGTGTGACTTTTTTATTAAGCAAACCAATGGCTTTTTCTTCCTCACTGAAAAAGCGACTGCTAAAACTTCAGCTTGCCGTGTGTTTCATGGGGATTTTGAGTTTGTTAGCAGCGAAGAATGTGGTAGAGAAATGGGCATCTGATTGCTGTAAGCTGGGAAACAAATGGAAGGAACTGAAGTAATTAATTCAGTTTTTCTTTGCTGTGAAAAGTTTCTGCAGATCATAACCTGTCAATGTAAAGCAAATGGAGCAAGTCCTAGAAGGAAAACCTGAAACTCAACTTCACCTACTGCTCAGTATGTTTTTTATAGGAGTGCTGGAGGCAATGGAACATGAAGCAACATGAAAATCAGGATGGGGATCCTGTCCATTGCTTTGCTTTGAGCTTTTAACAGAAACTGACTGAAAGAGCAGTCGCTTGGAACAAGAATACTCCCTGATCCTCACCATGTGTTAAACAGTGGCACTAGCTTAGAGCTTATCTCAAATAGAGGTGTAATCCTAGGTCCCTTGGAAAGGATTCTCCGAGTGAGCTGCAGGAAGCCTCAAGAAGCAGTTGTGATGTCTAAAAAATTAAGTAGTATGAAGAAGTTTGTGGGACTGTCTCCTATCTGTATAAATTCTGCAAATGATTCATCCTTTTAAGTTCAATTTCCTGTGTACTCCTTTTGGATCATCTTGCGGTGATGCCCACCTACCCTCAGTAGTTTTCAGGTCTTGCTTCACCTCTTAGAATTGATATGACAGTTCAGCGTACTCCTACACCCCAAGAAATTTTAGCCTGGAAATACACTGCCTCTGAATACTTCTGTTACACAAATCTTTTCTGGGACGGGCTGCAGTGCTGGATATGTGTAGCGTGGTAACTTTTGTGAGAACTTGATGTGAGTGTCTGATAGACAAAGTATGAGAAATGTGGTGATGCTTTTACATACTTGTGCTGAGCTAGCTGTTCAAACTTCACTTGTAAATAGATAAACTGTATATTCCCTGATGCAGGGAAAGGGGCTGAGGCTCTATGAATGGGGGAGAGAGATGAGAAAGTGACTACCTTTGCAAGACTCGTGCTGTATGTGCAAAATCTGTAATGTACACAAAATTTCTAAGTTAGCTGTCTGCCTTACTGCTAACATGTAGCCTGAGCGTTCTGTGTACATTGCTCAGTTTCAGCAAGCTGGGCTCTTTAAACTCCTGCAGCCAGTAAGGAAGGATGGGATCTCCAGAGGGCAATTCAGAGCAGGAGCTTCACAGAGGTATTCTGAATCTGTCTTCTGTCAGAGCCAGGCTTTCTATGTAGACCAGAGAAACTCAGCAATTCAAGCCTCTTGGCTTGGTTAGGTAGCTTAGCTGTCGAAAGCAGAGGATGTGAATCCCCAGCCTCTACTGTATGGTGTTTCTTGTTACTTTTAGTAGTATGTGGTCAGGGTTTCTACTTCTTTCTTCCCCCAAATGCGTCTTTATAAAGGACTTAAATATATTTATTTTACTTAGCTCATGCAGGTATTATTGGACAGGAAACAATAAATAAATTACTGTTTTGTAATTGGCAACAGACTTTGTTATTTGGTAGTTCAACAGAGCTTGATAACTAGTACCTAGCCTCAGACTGTAGGTCATTCACACTGATGCTGATTAGGCAGTAACCTTCTATTAAACTTCAGCATCCTGTTTGCTAATTAGAATTCCCAAACTTGATGGAAAAAAAATTTGGAAGAAATATGCAGCTGCTGTGGTGAAAATCTGTCTGTGTGCTTGTGGACCAGAATATCAAGTGAAGGCTTCCAGCAGCTGCAGAATTTCACTCCCCTTCTTCCTTTTGTTTCTAAAAGGGCCCAGGTGACCTGCAGGGCCTTTCCTAGTTCTTGGCCTTAAGTGTGTTTCCTGGCAGAAAGCTAAATTAGTCGCAGGTAGTGCTAAATTCAGTTCTGTCCTGATAGAGATAACTGTGGCAAATAAAGCCATGCTTCCACAAGGATGTATTGCACTTATTTGGCACGTCAACAAATATTACCAAGAGATCCTTCCAGGAGCCTCTGTGAAGCTGGAGCACAATTGGACCCCCATAGAGTACAACAGGAGACTGATTTGGGAGTCTGTGCTTGGTCATTAAGCGTGTGCTGCGAAAGACAACGGGATGCTTCCTCACCAAGACTGAGCACGTGCTTCAAGTACTTTTCTGCATGGGTGCCAAGACAAGCTGCCTTGAGGCCTGCAGTTGGTTACCAAGTAAACCAGAACTGTTGTAGTTCTTGTGAAAATAAGGATGTGGAGTCAGTTCTCCCGTGCACGCTGTTGGAGCGGTTTATAGGCACTCAGCTGGGGGATTGTGTCACCACTCTTGCATGTTATTTTGCTTTCCTGGGGAGCGAGCCTGCAGTGAAAAAAGTGCACCTACATCCCACACGAGGCTGTGCAGTCCTTGCGGAAAGAAGAGAACTGATTTGGTGAAATCTTCTGTGATCAATATATTGAAGTCTTTTTTTGAATGTATTTTTATAATGAGGAAGAGACAGAAAGGAATTCTTTTGCAGTGGTTACTGCTGCCCGATTTTCTCTTTAAGTTAGGGTGGGTGCTTGGAGCATTGGAAACTTATTATTATTCTAAATCAAAATAAATATGGCAGTTGGCACAGTAAAAAGCCATTAAGGCCAGCTTTTTATGGTCACGTAAATGGGTTGGATTGGACTGGAAGGGAGCTCTGCATCATCTAATTGAGACACCTGCTATTCCACCCCACTGTCCAAGCTGGCTTGCAGCACGGGTGTTTGTAAATGGCTGAAGTCATGAATTTCATACTTAATTGTGTAAGGTTTTACTTGGTTTTTTTTTTTCTGAATTGAAGTGTTGATTGTATTTTTCACGCATTTGTTCTTCAACTCATTTGCCTAATTCTCCTCTTCATTGCTGAAAGACGAGGAAAAGAACTATATATTAAAACGTTTGGAGATGCAGAGGGAGAGAGGAATGGAATCTAAGAGGGAATTCAGAAAAATGTGAGAATATTCTCCTCTTCAAGGAGACATTTTTCAGTGGAGAGGAAAAATACTTGGAAAAACATCAGCTGTTAGTTGTGCTCATTAGCCTCAGCAGTAACTCTGGGAGAAAAATGCTGTGTCTTCAGAGAAGCAGAACCTGCAATGAGTAAGGGGCGGGTAGTAGAGGACTGGCAGGAGATGGTTGGATGGATAGCTACAGATGGATACTTTGGAAGAGTGTTCTTACAGTCCTCTTTATATTTTTGTCTATTTTCCTTATTCTGCTTTTCAAATTCTTCTACTGTTTTTCAGTTCTGTTCTCAGCTGTTGACTTTCTCTTTTTTTTTCCCCTTGACAGTTCCTGTATAACCCTGTTCCTGCAAATCTTTCTCCTTCCTTGTCAGGCTGCCAGCAGCTCAGATGGTCCTGGTTCCTTCAGTCCCTTGGTACTCTTTCAGTCTCTACCAGCCCTGCTTGGCAGTAACTCAAACTTTTGTTTAAAAGTTTTTTTTTTAAAAAAACAAACAAACAAAAAACCACCCCCCAAAAAAATCATGGCTGTATCTGTACCTTTTCCAATTAGATATTTGAGGCAGAGAGCTGTGATTGTGGAGAAAAAAATAGATTATCTTTCTTACAGTATTTATTGTATTGGTTGCTCTTCTTTCCTTACAGATGTTTCAATTTAAAGTTGGGAAAATAATTTTCATGTTGGATTCAAGTCATGATGCTTGGCTGACATTCACTTGCCTCTTGGAGCTGACCTAAATTTTGATCAGTATTACCTCGTCTAGGGGCTGCTCAGCCCAGTGCTGAACACACACAGCTCTCGGTTGCTGCTGCTGTTCTTGCAGGGGCTTATGGACACTGTCACAAGTTTGCTGACTGCAGTGAAGAATTTGAGTTGATCTTCAGAGTAGGGGAAAGGCTGCTGCATGCAAATAACAGCTCGAGAAATTTTAGCACTATGTGGGAATAAACAGTATCCAACTCTAGCATGTTCCTTGTGCCTTACAAGCAGTCTGCCAAGCCTGATGCTGAAGTATTTGTGTAAATCACTGCCTACATGTAAAGTGGTTAAAAGCCAACCCTTACAAAGATGTACTGTTTAATTTAAACTTGGTTTAAGTAAAGAACAATTGTCCATACAGCTTGATTTGAAACTGCAGTGCAACTTTGAGGATGCACTCAGGTATGCTCTCATAGATCAGATTAAAAAATTAAGAAGTTGGAATCCTTATGCTGTGACATGTGAAGTGGCTGTGTAGATATATTCCTAGGATGTTATACTGCATAGTTAAACAGCTTAGCTTAAACTTGTGGCATTTTTATTTGGAGTTTTGGCCTGCAGGATAATTTTGAGGAGAGGCGTGCCTGCAAAAAGAGGGCAATGCCATTGCCTCACTAACCCTGCAGAGTGCAGCTTAGTTGTTACGGATCATAGTCTGCATAAGAACTTACACCACGGGCAAAGGCAAGCTTGTACTGAGATACTGGAGAGTGTTGGCATCTGTTGCCTTCCTCCATAGCAGTAGCTTGGAAGAGCAACGACACCTGTGTGGTTTGTTTAAAATGAAAAGCTAAGATGGCATAATTGTGACATGAATGCCAAGTGCAGTGTTGAGTTAAGCATTTGCATGAGAACATGTGCACTCTACCTCTCATGCTTTCAGATTTGTGTTTCTATAGAAACAAATCTCAGAAACTTCATGACATATTTTCCGTCTTTCAGATTTTGAAGAAATCCTGCATAGAAATTCTGGCGGCAGAGCCTTCCAGTATATGTGCAGGGGGTAAGTATAAACTGAGGCCCTAGTTGTTCATGTTGCCTAAAATATGTCTTTCTGTCCATCTCTAGTTGCTGCAGAGTGCAAAAGGAGCTAATTAACTGGAGCTAAATCTTTTGCTGTTTTGATTAATTTCTTTTTCATTTTACAGTAGCTTACAAGTGTCCCGTTTCTGCCAAATGATGTCCAATAGGATTTTCTTACAGAAAAGGCTTGTATTTGACAGTTTTGCCTGTTTTTCAGTCAAACCAGTCTGCCTTACTTGGACGGTGCCAAACTTGAAGTAGATATGCTGCAAAATTACAAACTAAATCAGAAAATAAGACTTTGATTAATTTTAGAGTTTTGCAAATTCATCATCTCAGAGGCTAGTTGAGGGAAGTGCCTCTTAAGAGAGCAGCAAGCAAGTCAAATGAGCAAGCTTTGATCTAAAGGCTTCTAATACTCTTTGAACAGTTCTTAGGCATTTATGGTTGATACAGTGATGGAAAGGACTAGAATTTAAGCATCATTCAGCTGACTTGTGTGAATCGTACTGGCCCCTCTTTGGGTGCTTGTTCTAATAGGATTGTACTGTGTGTACTGTGATTTTAAACTCCTGGCAAGCATTTCTGCATTCAGCAGAACCCAGCCTTTTTTGAAGAAAGCTTGAGAACCATTTTAGCCTCTTCCATCTGCTTCCTGTGAGTTCTTCCCATTTTACGAAGTGCGTCCTAACTTTTTATTGTATGTGTAGCAACTCATTAAGTAGAGAGCTTGGGAGCAGAGCTGAGGTACGTAGAGAGGAATGAGTCTCTGACCATTTCTGCATCTTTTTCTTGAATTGATAGTCCAAATAAGTAAGCCGCTTGATGTTTCTTCCGTGTTTGCACTTCCAAAGCAGCTGCTTTAATCATCCTTCCTGCTTCTCCTGTTCCTGAAGCAACTGCCTGTATACCTAAACGTATATAGGTAGTCATATTTTTCCTAGCAGATGCAAGACACCAGGCTAAATGCCCAATGAGTACCAGGCATCAGTTTTGCATTCCATGCATGCTACTACAGTAGTTCTGGTGTTTTGTTTTTTGAAGCCAGGATCGCATAATTGACATAGAATCATAGAATGGTGAGGGTTGGAAAAGACCTTAAAGATCATCTAGTTCCAACCCCCCTGCCATGAGTAGGGACATCTTCCACTAGACCAGGTTGCTTGGAGCTCCATGAATTATAGTACTTAGTCATGGACTTCTCATTTTGCCTGGCCACTTAAATAGTTCCTTTGTTAAAAAGGGCTCCAAAACAGGGCTCTATCTACCTGAGCATGGTAGATGATTGTTGTCATGACAGTCTCTAATACAGTGCAGTGATGTTCCATAAATGTTTAGGGAAGGAAATGAAGTTGTATGAAGATTCAGATCCACTTTACACACTTCCAGATTTTTTAAAAAAATATTTCCATACTTATACAAGTGATAAACAATGATGCTTATGTAATGTCGTAAGCCAGAAAGCAACTTACAACCATCATTTATGACCATCTTTAATATTTTCTATTGTGCTTGTCAGTTGCTTATACATCTTATCCCTCACATTTATTGTGTCTTAATGTACACCTGTATCCAGTAGGGCCAGCTGAGAGAAAATGTAGAGGGGCTTCATATAAACCGTTTACATTGGAATTCAACCGGTACTTCACAAGAGGAGCAATGTTAACCTTGAAAAATGCCAACAGTTTAGATGCCCAATTCAAGGCCTCATTTCTGAGTTTGGGCAAATACTCCATTGCTCTTGAACTGCAGCTAATTCCATCACTTAGAAGTTTTAGACTAAGGAAAGTGCCATTGAATGTGGAAGTTATGTGCATTTGTGTATTTGACATAAATTTTAGTGAGTATAGCTCTAATATCTTTTGTTTTCTTGTTTCTGTGCACATCCTTGAAGAGCAGTTGTGAATTTTACTTTTTTCTGGAAGGAGAGAACATGAGGGCTCAGTTACCTGAGGCCACTCTTGCACTGCAGACTGGTCCCAGACACTTGAATAATAATTTCAGCAACAACACATGGTTCTGAAATGCCGGTTGCTTGATGATTTGGTTTTGTATCAGTACAGATGTGCAGGGTGCATACTGTATCTGTTCATTTCAGTCTCAGAGGCAGGATTCCCATGGTTAATCTGACATCATTGATATGCTGTTCTTTGACTGTATTTGAACTCTCATTGCCCAGCAGTTGAGACTTCTGTGATTTCTCTTAAGTATTCATCAGCCCCCGCACTTCAGAACAGAGCTCTTCTCCCCCGTTCTTCCCAAATGCTCTTGGACACACATAATGGGCCTGCGAGGCAGCTTCCCTGGCTAGATGTGGTGGGATGATTTGCAACTTGGCTGTAAAGGAGTGGGACCTGGAAGAGAGCCCAGATTCCAGAGCAAATCTGCTTTTTTTGACAAGTACAGTGTGTGAGTCCTTAAGAAGATGGGGACTGTAGAGTGCAAGGGGAAAACTTTGAATCTGCAAAAACTAGGTTCCTGGTTGCTCCTGGGAATTTTAAAATCAGGGTGGTGCTTCTGATGCACTGTGATTACTCCTGCATTGTCTTGGACAGTGAAACATTTTGTGTTCAAACCATATTCACCAGTGAAACATCAGTGGGGATTATCTGAATGTCTCTCCTTGATAGTAACAGGAATTGTGGGGGCTGTTTTCTTTGCCGTGGGGAACTGCGGAGTTTGAGTCCCAATGGCTGCTGCCAGAACTTTTCTGGGACTATGGCCCTGTTTCAAAACCTGGAAGTCTGAAAATGGTGCTTTCCTTGCAAGGCAGTCTTAATGCTGGTGGCTGCAGGAAGTTCATAAACCTTTCCCAGTACTAGGTCCAAGTAGCTGGAATAACAAGGCATAGTAAAGAGTGGTCTGAAAGACTGGTGAGGATATGATCTCATTGCTAAGCCCTGTTTGTTCCAAAAAGAATTGCTCAGTTCAGTGCTCAGGTGCGAGTGACTGTCCTTGATGCTTTCTGCTTGCACCACAATCTTGTAGAGCTGATCTGGAAGAGTAGCAAAGAGGAAGATTTGGGGAAATGCCCACGGACTCTGAGATGGTAGCATTTGTCCAGACACCAGAAAGCCAGTCGGCTGATGAAATCCTCTGTCATTGTATGGAGATGAGTCCAGCCAAGGACTAGGCTGTGCAGGCTAGTAGGGCGGGAGGTGACAAATCTCATGGCAACCGATACGATTTTGCTGTTACCTAGCAAAGTAGCACTTGAACTTCTCCAAGTTATCTGTCACTGGAAGATCTTTTCCTTTGCATGGAAGGATGCTTTTGCCTTTCTTCACCCAAAAATTTCTGCCATTGAAAATGGCAACCTGGGGAGGAGAAATCTCAGTGTCCAGGTCTGAAGCTTAATGTTTTCACTGCAGGTCAGTTAAAAAGTATCTGTTTGTTATTTCCTGTTTCTATAAAGTTGAAACTGGGTAGGGAGAGAGAAAAAATTCACTTTTTAACAATTTTTCAACTTACAATTCGTAGTTTAACAATTTTTATCTCAAGAGATGTCAAGTGCAAAGTTTTGACCTATGTGCCTTGTGTAAATGACCATTCTTTGCCTTGCTATGTATTGATAATCTACTGTCTCTTTTGCTACAGAGTCGTTCCAGGTTGTTGTGAGAGGAAATGGATTTCGACATGCCCGTAACGTTGACAGAGTGCTCTGCAGTTTCAGGATCAATGACACAGTTACTCTCAGTAAGCTGTTTGATTTTTTTATTTATTTATTTTTTTTTCCCCCTGACTCTGCACTGGCAGGCATTTGCTTGCAGAACATTTTGCATCTTCAAGTATCTTCACTGTGAAGGTAATTATGAGATGAGGAGCTATTAAATTTGCAGAATGGTGTGAAGTTGAGGGAAGGCTAGCCTTGGCACATGGCTCCACGAAGGGTTGAAACAGGTAGGAATCTTTAAGCTTGGATCCAAGGGTAAGTGTAATGGCATGTACAAGACAGAGCTGCCCTGGATGTAAAAAATGTTGTGACCACAAAAGAAAGCTTGTCTAGTTTTTTGTTTCACTGTACAAGCTTTTGCTGTAAGTGACTGTACGTAATTTGTATTAGCTTTCTACTATTCAGTGTGTACTGTTATGCTGGACTCCTCTGTAGTAGGCAGGTTCTGGAATTGCCAACTCTTGTGTCACTAAGCAGAAAGCTTGGCTGGCTGTGGTTCACATTTGCTTAATTCGGATGTGGTGGGTGTTGAGTTTATGAAGAGCAGAAGCTGGAGGGCTAAGTGTCCAGGAAGGAGCAGGTGACATTGGAGGTGGAAATAGGAAAGGAGAGGGATCCGAGTAAAAGCACTGAAGTGAGGGGGACATGGTGAATTAACCATTTTGGAGGCATAGCCTGAAGAAGAGAAGGCTGAGAGGGGATCTTAGAAATGCTTATAAATATCTGCAGGGTGGGTGTCAGGAGGATGAGGCCAGACTCTTTTCAGTGATGCCCAGCGACAGGACAAGGGGCAATGGGCACAAACTGAAGCAGAGGAAGTTCCAGCTGAACATGAGGAAGAACTTCTTCACTCTGAGGGTGACAGAGTCCTGGCCCAGGCTGCCCAGGGAGGCTGTGGAATCTCCTTCTCTGGAGATATTCAAGACCCGCCTGGACGCGGTGCTGTGCAGCCTGCTCTGGGTGACCCTGCTTGGGCAGGGGGTTGATCTCCGTGCAGCCTGGAGATAAATGTTGGAGATGTGTGAACAAATGAGAGGTGGCTTTCAAAAAAAAAAAAAAAAGCTTGTTCTTTTAAGCTCCATAAAGTCAGACCCAAACTGGACCTGTGGCCAGAACTCCTTAAATCTGGATTATGGCTGCATTTAGCTGTTGAACCATGTTTTGTTTCTCCCCAGAGTTCAGATCCAAAGTTTTGTTTGGATCAGGTGTGTTATAAAGTCTCTTGTAGTTCTTCAGAGCTGGGCAATAAGCCTTCCCTTCTCTCTCCACCTGGAAGGTTCCAATGGAAATGAAATTGCTGCTCATATGTTTAGAAGTTTTCATCAAAAGTCTGAAGCCCTGTGGTGCAAACCCAAAATCTCTCCACCTGGAAGGTTCCAATGGAAATGAAATTGCTGTTCATGTGTTTAGAAGTTTTCATCAAAATTCTGAAGCCCTGTCGTGCAAACCCAAAATCCTTTCAATTTGGTTGCTGGACGCTGACAGTTTGCAGCGTTCGTAGTTTGCATGTCTGCTGTCTTTTTTCAATCAAAATGTGAATATCCCATATCAAACAAATAATTTGGGTGAAAATTTCCACTTTGTGGAGGAGCTACTTTCAGTTCAAGAGAAATGGTAGGGGCTTAATTTGAGCTTTTTATTAGGGGCTTTAAAATAGATCTGTATCTTGGAGAGAAAGCATTGAAGCTGTGTATGAAATGAGTATACTCTATTACCCCTACTCTACAGGTGGGGGAACAGAAGTGCTACTGAAGGTAGCAGCTCCAAATGAGCTAATCGCAGACAAGCATGCAGATGTCCTGACACCCAGCCTAGTACTCTTCTTACTGGTTTATGGGGCCTCTTCAGAAGCTAGAGATTTGGTGCAGGTCTGCTTTCTGGATTGTCTGTTCTTTATTCATTTCGGCCTCCATATTCATCCAACAATTGTCCTTCTTAGGGCCTTCTTTGCATTGTGAGTCCTTGCTCTTACTTTTTTAGGTAGGGAAGTGATATTAATGCTATCCTGCTTTTCTATCTTATGTCAAGTCTTTTGGGCACTTGATTTGCTGTTCCACTTTTTCATCCGGAGGAGATTACTTGCTCACTACTTGTCATTAGCTTGAAAGTTCCCTCTGTTACGTGAGGCTATGCTAGCTGTGACCTTGCTGTTGCATCCCAGTTGCTTCTCAGCTCAGCTTTCTTACAGCTGGACGGCTCAGGAGTAAGGCATTCGTTCCTGGAAGACATCCTGAAGTCTTCACAGAGCTAAGAATGTCATCCATCAGCTTTCCACTATTCAGTGTGTCCTGCCTGTGGAGACACAAAGCCATCCACTGTTGCCAGTGGGAGGAACTGTTTGCAAGGGTTACCTCGCTCCCAAGCACTGCGATCTGGTGTTGGTGGGGGTAAGGAGGAAGACTCCTTCTCTTTTTGTGTGATGACTGCTTATCTGGCTAAGTATTTTATTATGGTGTCTGTCACTGTAATTTTGTAGTCTCTTTCGGGAAAGATCAGCTTGTCTTAGCGCAACCCATGGGCTTTTTTCTTTTTGTTTGAAGCTGTCTTCCTGTGTCCACAAAATGACTGGAAAATGAGAATAATTGCCAAATATGTCCCCTGCCTTCTGATCTGACGTAGTCATTGTGTCCTGAATCGATGCACAAGTGAAAAGTGAGCTCATTCTCCTTGGCACTGCACCAAGACTTCTCAGGTTTTGTACAGCCCTAGATTGTTTGATGCAGTGACCTGGAAGCGAGGGGCCTCAAACTAAATTTCTGAGTTCAAACTGTTCCCTGATTGAGGGAACTCAACAGTTGCTGATCTCGATGTTTTGCTTTACTGGAGCCTGCAGCTCCAGCCTGCGTGCTCCCTGTGCCTTTGTGGCACATAACTGCAAACAGTTTAACATACGAGTTAACTGAAGGAGAATTTTGTGGAAACCTTATGGAGATTGGATAGCTCAGCTGTTTTTGTTTGCTTGAAACCTCTCAGTCTCTGATTGTGTCAGGGAGGGAGGTATTTTTAAAGATAACACTAAGCCAACAGTTCCTGAAACCTTAGATTATCCCAGATGAGATGTAGCCCAGCATAGCTAGGACTTGCTGAGGTTAAGTGCATGAGCTAATAGATTTTTATTGGGATTACTGGCAGAGAAAAGTGGCAGGTGAAGAGAGTGTTGTCTCATAATGTTCATGGCTATGGGGTAAAAAAAAGGAACATCTGTAGAAACCATGAAGAATATTTGGCTGAGCAGAACAGTAATCAGATGTGTTCAACAGCAGTGTGTTTTCTGCCAGCAGCAGGACCTAGGAGAATTGGTTTCAGACTGCACAGAGTTAAAAGTAATTATACAGGCCAGTGACTTACGACTGCTTTGTGGCGCTACAATGTCTTGGTCTGCCCAGATTGTGCAGGATCCAGCAAAGATAGTTCTTGGCATAGAGGCAAGCTGTCTTAGGCAACTTAAAACTGAACAGAGAGGCGAAAGACTGGTGAGGAAGCAGCATGCACCACAGCAGAGATGGGGCTAGATCTTTTGCATTCTAGTGAATGCTCTGAACGCTTGGCCAAAACTGATCCTTTGCACCAACTGGGCTGCCTTTCAGTACCGAGTACCAGAAGTGAGGGAAAATGAGGCAGAGACAGTGGGAGCAGGACTTTGCCAGGTATCAGTGGACAGTGAGCTGTAGAGGGAATGGTATCCCAAAACTGCCCAACAAATGCCTTCTAAAAATTGTCTTCTGTTTTGAAAGCCTAGCAGGTTACTCCATTTTCCCTGTCTTTCATTTTCCCTTGCAGCACAGTACTTTTCTTGTGATATCTTCTTTGCTTTCTTACAGCCTGGTCACTCTTACCATAGGAGCATTTTGCTTTGCAGTTCCACTCTCTAATCTCTGATTTCCCCACTTAATCAGGTCACTTTAACCCTTCACTGAATGTTTTCCTTTAATTTTCTTATAGTAGCTTTTCCCCTCTTTCTGCTGCTGTACTGGAGAATGTCCATTGATGTGTACAAAGTCTATTGGATGGTTTTGGGAGTGTGACCTTTATGGCAGATACAACCCATGCCTCTAATTTTTTTCCTTGGCATCCTATTTTGAAGGGTGGCTCAAGTAATTGCTTGACAAAGAATAAGAAAACATGAGAAACGATCACGTCCCTCAAATGTTCTCCTAGCTTTCAACAAATTGCAGTGTAGGAACTTTTGAAATGGGATTCCTGTGCAGTTACCTCCAGCAGACTTCTCTGCAGCTGCCCAGGCCGAGTGTGGGGGAACAAGTGCAGAGCAGTGAGGAAACTTGGGCTGAGTGAGGAGGAGAATCTCTGTGCAGTGCGGAGTGCTTTACCAAGCTCACTTCTTCATACTGTATGCTGCTGCGGGACCAAGATGGTCTCTCACTGACGTTAGTATATGTGTGCAAATAATCATGATGGAGCTGATGGTAACAGCTCTGAGACTGGAGTGGAGCTGTTGCAGTGCTGGACCGAGACTCCTGCCTGGGAGTGACCCTGTTGTACTGCAGCTCGTGGTGCTCTCCTGAGCTGCCAGTTGTGAGCATGTGCAAAGTAATAGCGTGGTGCTTTGCCAAGTTCTGTTAGTAGTCTTGAAGAGATGTGTGCTTGTTGAACAGAATTGTATGCACAGCAAATGAACGCATCAGAGAAAAAGCAATTCCTTCCAGATCCTTTTTCTCCATCTAGAGATTGTTATGAATATGATATCATTGTTCTGTGCTTATCTGTCTCTTCCCTCCATCCCCAAACTCTCCTCTGAATGGCTTTGGCATTCAAAGCTCATGTGTCCCTACACAAAGCAGAGCAATTATAGCATGATCTCAATATGGTTTTCATTACAGCATTAACAAAACATTTCTTATTTATGGGTCTTTCTCAGTTTCTCTAGCTCAAAGCGTTCCAGTGTCTTTCTACATTCGTATCTCTCCACAAAATGGGTTTGAAATAAAAACTTTGCTTGCAGAGTTGTCACAAGGAGTGGCATAAGAGGAGTCATCAGCCAGGAGGCACGGAGATTGTGCTTTGGTAAGCAGTGCAGAGAATTACAGAGGTATTTTGTCTCATCTGAGGTGACAAAGGGACAAGGAAAGTGCCCAGGCTCACGAGTGCTCAGGGCTACCCATCTTGAGCAGGCTGAGGTACAGAGAGCAGCCTTCTTAGCACAGGTGTTCCTGAGGGAGTCTTACGTGATAGCAGCCAGATTCCCAGCCCCGGTTTGGCTGTACTAGTCTGATAGACCAGAGTCTTCTCTCCTGTAGAAACAGCAGACTAGGTCAAAGCATTTTCTGAGATGTACTTTAGCTCAATGCAAATCATAAATACAGGGATAACAGGAGGAAATTGTTAGTCTCTGATAAACAGGAAGTTTGGCAAACAGCTTTTGTAGCCTTTTCTGGACTAAAATATTGCTGATGTTGCGAGTCCAACCAGCAGCACTTGTGATATTGTGGTGGCAATTTGAAAATGTTGTGCTTTCTTAAATCCTTCTGTAAGGGATCTTTGCAGTCAGTTTTCAGTATGCCAGTCAGTTCTTGGATGAACTGTTAACCAAAGAAAAGGCTGTTAATTGTAGCTTGGTTATATGACAAAGGGGAAGTACTCCTGTCTGTCTTGGTCACTTACTTTGGGTTTTTGTATAGCTTTTTTTATGAAGGTTTGCTCTTCTCTGTTAAAACATCATGCATATATTGAGGCTTCTATTATTATGGTTGGGAAGTACTCCAAGTCCTGGCTTGCCAAAAGGTTACACCCTGCTAATGGCAAAAGAAACTATTCACTAATGCTAGGAATAATAGATTTTACAGGCTACAGATAGCTGTCAAAAGGTGTAGGAATGGTGGGTAGCGGATTACAGGAGTCTGAGCAGGAGAAAGTACCTTGTTGAAAGGGCATTCACAGAAAACAGATGTGTTTTTGCCAGGTGTTTGACCCTTCTCCATTTCTGCACACTACTCTGAGCTGCTGATGCGTCAGGACTGACTAGTTTTAGTTGCCCGTGTGTACTGTGTCCTGTGGGGGTTCTTTGTACAATGAGAACCTTATTTTGCTTGAGGGAGTAATCAGAGGTACGTAGGTAAGGAGTGAAATGTACCCATTACTGTGGACAGACCTTCTCAAAAGTGAGGCATTGCAATGTTTCCTGAAGATGTCCAAGCTCTGCCCTTGATTGGTGTCTGAGATGCGATCAAGGCCTGGGCATCCTTTCTGTAAAACTGGCAAAGGAGGCAAAGTGATTTCTCCATGATTACACAGCCAGCTAGTGGCCAAGCCGAGAACAGAAATTGCTCTCTGGATAGCAAAGTCAGCGACATCGACTTGAGCACTCTGCCTCCTGCCTTCCACAGCTCTTCCACTAGTATTGTTAGCCAAGAGGAGTCCAAACCATGAACTTCAGATTTTGGCACGAGGTCTAGAGTTTGGGAGCATTCAGGCCCATGTCTTACTGCACAGGAATACAACAAGATTTTTTTTCTGTAGCAGATGAGAAAAGCGACCTTTTTTCAAATGCATCCTGCAGATACAGATGCAATAGCAGATGAGAAGTGTTGTTTTGCTTCGTTTCCCTATGTAAGTTTTCCAGGAAGGAGTCAGATGGCCAGAGTTATGCAAACCAAATGGATCTTCTTTTGTTTAGAGCAAAGGAAAAAAGTGGCTCATTTTTGTGGTGAAACACAAACATTCTCCAAACAAAATAATCTCTCCCTGTAGCCAGCCTGGCCAGCCACGAGTCCCTCTTGGGACTTGGAGTCTGATAAACTTTCTAGAGAGGCATAGACTTTAATGCAAGTTGGGGGTGGGAAGGGAGAGAAAGAGAAACAAAAAGCTAAGGAGATCTAAGTAAAAGACCTTGCAAAATTAAACCAGCTTTGGTTTTAATAAATGGAGAATTCTTTGGCCTCTGCTGCCAGTGTTAGCAGAGGAGAAAACAAGGCATCGGTCTTCATTCTCTAGACATGCATACGCTGAGACAATGTCATAAATTTGTGGGTGTTAATGTTATCTTCTTAAGGCAGGGTGAGAACCAAACTGCAGGGCTGGATTCACTACCACTGCCTTGCTTGTGCAAAGTGGGAAATGCTGCTGTTTCGTTTTGGTAACTCCATTGCAAAACTGAGTGCCTGTATATGATGCAAGCTTGTCATAAATCTGGTGCCTGTGCTGTAGGCGATAGGAAGTGAGGGATGTGCATTGTATTACTACATTGCATGTTTTAAATGCCTATTGTCTGTCTGCCTCTCTTAATGAAGAAGCAATCTTTCTAGATATTGTGGGGCTAGCAAAGGAATACCCTGTGCTGAAAACATCTGCTCCTAATGTTTAGTGTAGTGGAAGCGTTTGTATGTGTTCTTGCACTGAGGCTGTGGGAAAATAGCAATGATATGGTGCTTCGGAGGCCAACAGCAGGAGCAGGGATCTAGAGGGATCGCAGAAGCTTGAAGACTGCTCTCAGTAGGTGAACTGTGATGCAGAAGCAAAGCCTGTCTGTGAAAACCATATGGCTGGCTAAAATGTTTCGCTTTCAGCTGTTTGCTGTGTCAAACAGTCCTTAACAAAATAACTGCTGTGGGTAACCCAAAAATTCAAATACGTGTATGTAAGCATGGGATCTGCTGGAAGCTGGAAGCATAAGGAAAACTTCAGTGAAGGCTACCAATTTCATTACTATTTCATTTTTTTAATGGAATGTAAAAAAAAAACAACCCAAACATTTCCTAACCTGCCTGAAGAAATAATCTTTTATATTGCTGTCAAAGCAAAGAAATAACACCGGTATGAGATAAGGATTATAATGTGTGATAAGAATTAGTAGAGCAGTAGTACTGCTTTCTAAAATTTTGTATTCAGTGGAAATGTCTCCTTTAGGAATGTCTGGGAAAGAGGGCTTGACCTGGTGAGTCCTGATTTTGCATGAGGGCACAGACTCTTGCAGTCTGTATCTCTTCTGATATGATCTGAGCCTCATCCACTGCAGTAAAGTGTGCTGCGTGACCTTGCTTCTGAGTGAACCCTGCTGAGCAGGGGGTCAGGGATCAATAGTGTTCTACTGCTGTTGCCCTAATCATTTGTTCACCATCCCCGTGAAAAAATTTCGTTGCAGCTGAGTGAAGAATGGACAAGATTCACAGCTGATGCAGATATTACTTTAAAGAAGGTTGCCACATTCTTTGGCTTGTGTCTCTTCATGGCTTTTTCTCTTTCCACTGGCACCTTAAATGGAATTGTAACTTGCACAAGTTTCCTCAAAAACAAAAGACCAGACAGTCAGAATAGTTCAGCTCTTCATAAGATTGCTAAACAATTTGGTTAAACTCTTATCCTGCTGCTTACCATTCCCTGTTGCTTCCATGTTGCCAGTGTTGTGTACCCTGGGAAGTTAACTATGCTGTTGTGAAGTGACTTTAGATGGTTAGAGACCCCAGGTTTGTGGTCTGTATTTCAAATAGCAAAGCAAGGTGGGAGTGAATTATACTTGTGTTTCAACATGGCACCATAGAATGAAGGTCTCTTCCACCCTGCAGTATATAGAGATGAGTCAAGATTTGGACTGAAGATGAGATTTGGAACCTACAGGTTTGAGAGGCGAAGGGGAAGGAATCTGTCAGGAGAGGAGGGGCTTTCGAACAAAGTGAAAATTTTAACTGGAAGATTTTAGGAAGCTGGTAATATTTCGTAACAGCTTGTTGCAGGTCTCTAAGCATCTCTGTGGAAGGCCCTAGAGATGGCTGTAAGTACAGCTGGTAGAAAGCGTTCTGATGCAGTGACGTGCTTCTAGAAAATGCTGATTCAGCAGAATCAACCTCTCTTGCGGGTATGTGTGGTTTTCAGTCAAAATAAACCCCAAAACCACCCAGCCTGTCTGCCTGGTTTTCTGCCATCCTGCCCAATCTCTAGTCAGCTGACAAATGGTCTGGGAAGTTCCTTGGGATCCCTGTCTGTTTGATCACCAGAGAGATGGTATAAAGTTCTGATTTAAGTCTACAAAAAAAAAGTATTAGCTAATGTTCCTGTTTCCCAGGCAATTGCCTATTGATAATTTTTCTCGCTCCACTTTAAAAACCGTAGTATAATTCAGGTTGAAAGGTTGAGTTTGGGTTCAGACAAGTCTGCCTTGCAGTGCAAGATTTTCCATAATAAGTGATTTTCTTAACTCAGCTATTTCCAATTATATGTAATCTGTTGCAGCTCCATCTGGTCTCCTGTATGGAGCGGCTGTGAAAATTTGCTCTGTTCAAAAAGCTTTGTATCTTCCGTTTGGTTGTGGCTCAGATGTATGGCATGATAGATTTCAACAGCACGGAGCAGCTGGAGGAATGGCTAGGGTGCTGCTTGCAAGATGTGGGTGACGAGCGGCGCAGGGCTTCCGATTGCCCTGAGGCATTCGGCTCTGCCAGGGGTGGGTTGTCCTCAGCCCTCAGCAGTGGGCTTTGTGGAACAATGTTTCACAGTGAGAATGACAGAGCGCCATGGCAGCCGGAAAACAAGACAGTTTTCATGAGAGCTCTGCAAAGTAATGAGGAAGGAGGGTCACCTACTGCATTTCCCCATCTTTCTTCAGGGATTAAATGCCAGGTGTTGAATTTTTTCCTGAAGTGCAGGGTATCTACCATGACCTTGTATTTACTCTGTAACTCTGTGGGCTAAAGGCATGCTTACAGTTTCCTCAGAACAACTGCTGTGCAGGAGCTTTTTATCCCTCACACAGTGTTTGATTTTGTTTCTGTATCAAGAGTGAGGAAAAACATTATTTAAGTTTGGTCCTTAAGGCCTGTATTACTCACCAGGTAATAAATACCAATATTTCTTTTTTGCAGATGAGAAGCCTTTTGTAGTGGAAGATACCTACTTACTGTGCCCAGCACCTGTGCTACGAGAAGTTGGCATGTATGTTTTTTCTATGTATTCAGATATTTACTTTGCCTGTGGGAAAACGAGCTGCATAGTCTACTATAATCTGTTGTTCTTATATATATATCTAATTCTGACATAGTCTCTTGTGCTTGTTGGATTAATTGCCAGTTGTGCATTGGAGTACAGGGGAGAGAGCACCAGCAGTGTGAATTAATCTGTACAAAAGGCTTTTCTGTGCATCAGGAGTCCAGGTTCCAGAGGATATTACCTAGCAGAGGATTATGGACTAGCTGGCTTGACTTTTCTTGTGTGGTTTTATTTTTCAGGGAAGCAGCTCTCCAAGTCAGTATGAACGATGGTCTCAGCTTCATCTCTAGCTCCGTCATCATCTCCAGCACACACTGTGTAAGTTTTGATTCATGTGCCGAAAGTGATTCAGTAGGATGGTGGTACTTAAGAACAGATGTTAGTTACCACGGGTATTAGGGCTTCCAAGTTGAGTAAACCTCATTTGCCAAGAACCTGTTTCCCTCTTCTGAAGGTGAGCTTGTGAGTGTGGTGGTATGACAGTGGGTGTGTTATGTGTGCCGCAATGTGGCAAAGCTCTTGAGTCTTCAGTATACATCTCAGACTCTGTATCTGCTGTGGGATGCAGACCAGGACAGGACTAGCAGCCAGTGGTCTGGAGGTGTCTATATCCGCATGTCCACTGCACAGTGAGCAAGAAGCAGGTCTGCTGGCTTTGTTAGTCTCTTTCCTCTACAGCAATGGTGCTGCTAATTGTGAAAGGCATATGGCAGTGGTGATCACACCCTTTGTGGAAACCAGTACGGTTGCCAAAATAATGTGGGAGATTCTCCACTGAAGTAGCTGGCTTATGGCTGGCATCCTTTGTTGCCAGTAGTGAACTGCTGCACTCAGTCTCTAGTGGAATCAGGTAAAGGATGATGAAACCATGCATAATTCATGGTATGGCTGAAGATCCTGCTTCTGTTAAGTCATGGCTGTTGGAAATAGAGCATGAAATGACTTGCACTAAAGGAGGTAGTGGAGGAGTTAGCTTTGAGTTCAGAGCAGTCCTTTGTGCTTCAGTGTGTTCAGCTTGATTCGTCTGTGTGATTCTTCTGTGCAGGGAATCATAGAATCATAGGTTGGAAAAGACCTTTAAGATCACCAAGTCCAACCGTCACCCCAGCACCACCATACCTGCTAAACCACGTCCTGAAGTGCCACATCTACATGTTTTTTGAACCCCTTCAGGGATGGGGACACACCCCGGCCCGGGGCAGCCTGGTCCAATGCCTGACCACTCTTTTCAGTAAAGAAATTTTTTCAAATATCCGGTCTAAACCTCCCTTGATGCAACCTGAGTTGAATGGTTGAGATGCTGCTTTAATTCTGCTGTGTACTGGCTTAACCTATTTTTTGGGAAACCAGAGTATTCTCACCAGAAAGACCTGAAAAATCTGTCTGTGGCCTGCTTTTCTCCCTATCCGGTAAAGGCACATCATGTTTCCATACAGAATAAGTGAAAGGCTAAGCTGTGTAACATCCGATTGCCAGCAGTCTTCTGTGGTCCACAAAGGCTGATGCACAAAATGAGAAAGTCTTTTGTGTCATTTGATCTTGATAAGTATTCAACAAGGACAAGATTGTATGGAGAGACAGTTTTCAGAGCTTACATGAGGGGTTATATTCCAAAACTTACAAAGACTTCCTTATGCCTTAAAAGAACGGAATTTATTTTATTAGTTAATTTTTTGGTTCAAGTTCTCTTTGCTCACTGGCACAAATGTGTTTGCATGTAGTCAGCAAATTACAGGAATACTTTCCAATGTTTTGTTCCTGTGAGGCAAGACCTGAGAAAGATTTCTTAGAGAAAAATTATTCCTTCCTGATATGCTTTCTTCTGGGGATAGGATTATTATTTCTAGGTTATAGGAGACGAAATATCTGTTCCTTTTCTATTGTTTTAATATCTGTAAGGAAACTTTTGAAAATGCTTGTGCTTCATGGCAGTGCCTACTACTCTGATGCCTCCAGACTGGGAAACTGGATTTGCAGTGCAGCTGAGCGGCCAGAATTGAAATCCAGATTCTACATCCAAACCTAGACGCAGCGACATTCAGTGGCTGCTTTGAAAATTATATCGCAGCCTTCACTAACTGAGGAAGTTTATTCTGAGTAAACAGGCATTTTGTCTTTGTAGTAGTGTTTATTTTTTTCAGGGTCTCTAAAGATATAACTGTTTACTGTGACTGCAATCCCCTCCGATTAAGGTTACAAGGGCTTCAGTCCTGAAAGTACCCATATACAAAATGTGCACTAAAGGACTTGATTAATTGATTTCAGACCTGAAAGTTAGGTCTGTTTAAAGATCTGCAGCCAAGGGGGAATAGTCAGAAAACTGTGGAATGAAATGGTAACATGCAGGGAAAAAATTCATGGTTTTCTTCCCTGTGTGCGAACTAGCAATCCGTGCTTTGTGTTTCCTCTGTGCTGTATTTCAGAAATGGTCAGGTTTGGAAAAAGGTCTGGAGTGTCGTCTTCAAAAAGCTTCCTAGATGGCAATCAGTAGGGATTTAACATGGCAGCCCCACGCTCGCTTTAGTGCGAATGCCTTGAACCCCCATCTAGTTGCTCTCCAGAAATGGCTATTTAATGGGAGAAGGACCAAAGTTAAGGGGCTTGAAGGCCTGATAAGCTTTGATTTCTTTATTTTTTTAATGTAGCTCCACAACAAAACCTTCCTGTGCAACATGTAAATAAACTGCAAATATGCCATTTTCCCTATAAACAATACCTGTGCTATGAACTACCTGTTTTCAAGGACTATTGGGAGGTAATCTAGGGAAGAAAACTGAATCAAGAGCATAGCTGAAACAGACAGCTACATTCCCAGCAAGACCAAAGATGAACAGTCAGTAAAGTCAGTCAGACTTTGACTCCCAAGTTACGAGTGCAGGTATTTGAAGATCGGGACAGATGGAGCCTGTATGTTGAGCTATCTAATAAGCTTTTTTTATCACCCTAGCTGACAAAAATTTTAGTGTAGGTTTTCATGGTAAGGAAGTTGGGACAGTTTCTCATATGTTAATAGGGCAAAGCTATTTTATGTTGGTGTAGGTCCCAACTTTTATTTAGTATCTAAAGACTCCTAGGAGCCAGGCAGCTAAATAAATGACAGTTTTATTGAGCAGTGAAAACTGTAGAAGAAAGAAAATGCTTTTCATCTTAAACAGGCCACTTTTTGGAAAGAAACAAGGGATAAAAGCCTTTGCCTTTTCTAAAAGTGCATCATGGCTTCAGTGCTGTAGCTCAGCAAGGACCGACTCCTGTGATTGCCAGAAGCAGGGAGGGAAGAGCACTTAGTACTCCTGTGCTCACACTGTGTTTTCTGAGTGCCACGTGCTGAAAATGGGTTACTGGGATTTTTTGCCTTGCCCAGTGCCGTCATTTTTGTGAGGTTGCCAGTTAAAAGTGCTTTTCGTGGACTGTGCTGCCTTAATAGTCAAATACTGAATGCGTGGCAGAAAGTGTTCTGTGCATTTGTCGCATGTATGGTATGTCGCTGGTTTGTGTCTCAGAATGCAATAATGTGCATGCCTTTGGTATAAGCTGACTGCCTCTGGAAACAGACAGAGCATTTGCTGGAGCCCATATTGCCTAACTGAAGTAATTATTTGCATTTTTTTCCCTTGAGGTGTAAAAGCTGCTACAGCATTTCAGGGGTGAGAAAATGAGGGAAGGTTAGGAAGGAAGGCAGACGTAATGATTGATTTCATCTCCGTAATCTGAGAGACACTTAAATACATCTTGCTTTCCAGCATTAAGTGATACTACTTGTCAAGTCTGTCAACACCAAATTAGACCTCACCGTTTGAACATTGGTTGGGGCTTTGGAGGTTTTATTTTGTTTGAAGGAGTCATACATACAGTTAAAACAGCCTCAGAGCTTCTACCCGTGCTTTCAAATCTGAGTGCTTTGGAATCCACTTGCCTGGACTGCATCTGTCCGTTGTGCTTTGGGGGACTTCTCTTCTTCCCTAGCTTTCTGTCTCCTGAAATGTGGCAGGCTTCAAGGTTTGCAGCCCAAAAAAAACGCGCAGGGGGTGTTGGAAATTAAATGCATGGGTCCTGTTGTATTCTGCCATTTGCTCAATTCTTTGTGCTTTCCAATATCAGAGTACAGGCATGACTGTATATGCCTTTATACCTGCTTTTCCATGGGACTTAAGGAATTGCTGATGTAGTTTCCCAAAAAATAAAATTTCTAGACGTGCTTAAATTTTTGTTTTTTAAAGTGAGTCCCTAGGCTTTCCTGGTACTTCACTGCAGTTCTGTCTTCTCTGTCGAAAGGTAATTGTTTTTTCATTTAACAAAAGAGAACAGAAGAAGATGTGGGAGAGACTTGTAAAGATGCTTTTGTTGCAGAGGATCTTTCAGCATTTCCGCTTTGAAGTACATTTTGGGAAGACTTGCAGTCACATAAGTGATCTCAGCTGGATCAGGTGGAGCAAAATCTTCATTTAAGAAAGAATAAAAATTCTTCTCACTTGGCCCAGTTATTTTCAAGCCTGAGGTATGAAACAGTCCATGGGAAGTCTTTGGGGATTTTGTTTTGTTTTTCTTCCTAGGGATTTTCAATATGAGTTTTTAGAGGCAAGAGTCAATTACACATGGGAGGCCCTTTTGAATCCCTGGTGATACTTACTCAGTCTAGAATTTGCCCAGGCACATTAGCCAACAAATGGAACTCCATATGCAAGGTCTATCTGACTTGCTAAGAAGTATCGGTCAGAACAAATCTTGACTGCCCGATCTCATGCAGGGGCCTTAAGTTAAAGATGGAGTTGTCATTTTTTGGAGGGAGTAAAAAGCATAGACTGTGGAATTGCATGGGACCGCTCAGTTTTCAGAATGTGGTCTTTACCTTAAAGAAGAATGAAAGAAAAAAAATAGAACAAGCTTAGTAGAGGAGAATTTTTTTCTTTCAGTGAATGTGACTCTGGCTCCCACCCTCATGTTAGTTTCTCAGGAATAGTGCTTTTGTTGTGGTTTCCACCATCTTGGCTTTTCTACTGGTTTTGGTGGCTCTGAAGTCTAATGGGAAACCTGACTGGACAATGCCAGATGCCCTCAAGATGATAGTGTCAAAGCATGTATCTGTTAGGGGTGGGAGACAAAGGCGTGCTGGAGAGAGACCGGGGTAATGCACCAACTGCTTGGAGATTATAAAGCAAGCCTACCCTAGTCAACCATGTCCCCGCAGGTGCTTAGGGGCTGCAGCATGCGTTCTCAGAGATCTGGTGGAGGGCAAGAAGAGGCACGTACTGCAGGGCGAGGAAATTGGGAGGGCTGTGTTCTGGTCACCCTTGCAGGGTGCCTGCAGCAGCCCTGGAGAG